CTACGGAGATATGAAGACTAAGTTCAATGCGGACTCTGGATTGGACTGCAAAACAGAAAAAATTTTCTGGAAAAAATGGTGAAAGTTAATAACGACTGTGGTTTAACTAATTGTCTTTTGTACAAACGTTAATTTATTAGTTGTGATAAGCGTGTCCTGATTGTGTTAACAGTAGTATATTTTTTGCAACTTTTCTGTAAATCTAAAATTCTAACACACTCTTATTTAAAAAACTTAAACATGTAATAAAATACATGTGGATATATTTGGACCCTGCTTCAAACTATATATATATATATATATATATATTTGAGAAAACATTAGTAACTTGAATATAGATTGGGTATTTGAGAATATTAAAAATATTAATTTTGTTAGATGTGATATGTTTATGAACAAAAATCATCTTGACCTTTTGAAGGTGCATACTGAAGTATTTATAGGTGAAATGATGCCAGTAATCATGGGTAAAGTGATGTAATTCCTTGGAGATGCTTTACAATACTCAAGGAAAAGTATAGTTGGGGGAAAAGATGAAAACATTTGGGAAAAGATGAATACCTATTGAAACTGGATGTACACGGTGGGGTCTATTATACCATTGCTTTCTTTACTCTTATGAATAACTACATTTTCTCTAGTAAAAAGCTACATGGATAACATTGCTCCATGGGCGTGACTCAGTGACTCCCCGCTTTTTGAGGAGTCAGTCCTGACAGGGCTTTTTCACACCGTGACAGCACTTCCTATGTGGCCTTACACTATTCACAGAATCTGTCTCTCTTTTCTGGTTTGAAGGCTTCTTGTGCCACCCCCCCCCCCCTTTTTTTAAACAAATCTCTACACCAACCCTATCCCCTCCAACAAATACTCGCTGAGCATTAGTACGTGCACCCGGCCTGTGCTACCAAGGGGCCATGAGGAGAAAAAGCAGACACTGCAGCAAACACATTGAAGTTACAGTCCAGAGGCACCCACACATGTGAAGTACTGTGGCAGTCAATGTCATTGCTATGGAGGGTGTTTTATGGGAGAGCTCTGGTGTTGGTTACAAAGAGGAGTCCACAATCCGAGGTGGCAGGTGATGGAACTGTGGGGGCTGCAACCCACGGAGGTGCTCCCTTACAGAAGCCCAGAAGTCAGCTCTCATACTTGCTCCTTCACCTTCCAATCAAACAAGCCCTGGCAGCTCTGTTTTTTGGCCTGCCCAAACACTCTGCCCTTAGAAGCGTTTCCTAACTGCTAGGTGCTTGGTAAAGCACCAAAACACTTCAGCTGTTTATGCTTCTTGGAGCTTTTGATAAAAGCAAGCTTGTCCCTCTATCATATTAAAGATGCGAGTGAATCACAGGTCTTTCAGCCTCTTTTTAAACAGATGTGCAGTGCCCTGCCCCCTCTCTGCCCCCAGAAATGGAGTTTCTGTAAAGACGGAGAATGCAGATGACTAACCTTCCTCCCATCCACTTGCCATGCGTCGGTAGTCCACCACAGCTGCATGCAGGACTGCTGGGGCAAAGGCTAGGAAGTTATTCTGCAGTTAAAAATGGGATGAAAGCTGCTGGCCTGCCAGGGGAATGCCGCCTCTTTACTGAGATCATGGAAAAGTCACGGCAAGGCCCGGCTCTACATTTGAGCTCTGCACCAGCCCGGCATCTGATCTGTTCACAACCAGGCTGTCCACACAAGAGGCCTCGTCCCAGGAAAGCAACCTCTGCGAGCTCTTCGAAGACAATCACTGAACAAGTGGTCGCAGCCTTGGGGAAATCGGGCATTTCCCACCTTCGTACAGGCTGCTGCGTAATTAACTCTAGGCTCCACTCTGCAGTGATAAAGAGCATAAATGTGAGGGCCAGACTACTTCGCCAATTCCAGTTAATAACCACTGCTACTAGCTTTGCCACCCTGGGAAAGCTATTCAACTGCTCTGCATCTGCCAAACAGGGGTTAACAATAGCACCTACTTCATAGTGTTATGAAATTTAAGTGTATGTAAATAACCTTGATATTAGATGCACCGTGTTTGCTGCCGTTATTGTTAGGGTTGAAAATCGTAAGAAGTGGGTTTAGCCCATAGTGAGAACCAAGCTTAATCTCTTACCTTCATTTTCTCTCCTAATGCATGTGGCTCGTGACTCATGCCCTTCACCAGACCGGTTGGATTCCCAGGAGTGCCCACAATAGGTGGTCCATAAAAACGTTCTCAAAACTAAAGGCACGAATATCTCTATGGGCCTGCCCCTTCTGACTTCCAAAGTATCTGCTAAAAGATTTCTAGTACTTAAATAACTGAAAACTTTTGGGAAATGTTTTGATAGTATTTGTCAGGTAGTAATATAAAGTTGTCAAATTTTAAGTTTTCTGTCCTTGTTATAAAAACGTGAGACATTACATTTTGATTCAGCTTAAGAGAAATTAATCTAACCTTTGGTACACATTTAACATCAGACTCCTTATTGGTGTTAAAAATTAATCCATACAGTGAGGTTAAAATTATGCCAATTACATCTTGCATGGGCTCGTTCTGGCACTGCTTAAGTGATAAAGTGAACTGAATTTTGAAAGACTGTGCTCCATATTGGACCAATCATTTCTAACCCACTGGCTGTTGGATAGTTAACAGGCCTCCAGCTCTCACCAAACCCCGAATGTGAGAATGGCCAGAAGCTTGGTGAAATGGTAACAGGGTGGTTACTCCAGCAACAACTTGGAAATAGTCTCTGGGGGTCATTCTGATTTGCACAGGAAAATGAAGCTGTCACTATATTCATTCTAGAGTTTAAAGTATTATAAAACTAATGCCCACTTTAGTGAATTTCACGGCAGCTTGAGTATCTTCTATGTAATTGTGCACGTGGGAGTCTTCCATTTCTGAGCCTTCATTAAACCTGAGCAACGATAACAAAAGATCTGTTTTCTAAATCTCTGGTAAAGATACCCGGGGTTGATAAATCTATATTTTACATGTCATATTGTAAACATTAAGTAACACCACAAACATTTTTAAAAAAAGGAAGTTTATTGGTCTTTAAATGGCTCAAATTGCAAATAAAGCAACTGGGTAGTGGCATCAGCCTGAGACATGTGACATGCCTTTGTCGGTTGGCTTCATAGCACCTCAGTACCCAGGAGAGGGAAGGTCTCAAAGCAAAGTCACAATGTTAGTGGTTAGGACCCCTGGTTAAATAAGACCACAATGAGTACACATGGAGAGCGCAGGGCCCACAGGGCCGGTGTTACATTGGTACTTTAATTCGGACATGGCATAGCCTATGAAAAATACCAAATAAAAGATGTACATCTCAAACCCTTTAAGGACAAATATTGAACATAACAAGCCAGGTGCAATATCCAAAGAGCTGAGTTTCTAAAAAGCCTATTTTCATTAACTTTACTTACACATCTGTTACCTGGAATGCCTGAACTATTGAAATTAGGACTGAACACAAAAAGGAAAAAAAAGCTCTGTGAATCAATTGTCTTAGCTCTGTTTCAAAATATAAAAGAAAAATCTGACAGTGGTAGATTTCCCACTGAAATTATGTTCCTAAATAGCATGCTAGAATTCTTCCAGTGGGTGTACACATAATGGTGACACGGGCTTAAGGTTTAACCTGTGTGTATGCTGCTTTTCTGCACTGTACTCAGGCTTGGTTGCTTGATGTTAACTTGAAGGAAAATATAGCTATAGTGTTCTTCATTATGAACACAAACAGGAGACAAATACACCTAATAATGCCCATATAGCCAAAATGTAATCTTATGAGTACAAATTTAAAAATTAACAGGTGGTGCCCTGCGGGTGGCTCAGTTGGTCGGAGTGTCATCTTGTACACCAAAAGGTTGCAGGTTCAATTCCCTGTCAGGACATACATGGGAGGCAGCTGATGGATGTTTTTCTCTCACATCAATGGTTCTTCCTCCTCTTTCCTCCAAAAATCAATAAAAACATATCCTGTGGTGAGGATGGAAAAAAAAAAATTTACAGGTGGCAAGCATGAATATTTCCAAAAAGTTCTAGTGCAAAATGCGTTAGTACTATTGATGTTTTTCCTGTGATTGCTCCAAGGAGATAAAAACATTAACATGCTTACCACTTGCAGAAAGGGATTTCCAGCAACTAGCATCTTAAAGAAAAAAAGGGTTCACTAAAATATAACTGGTGTTGAATCCTCATAGTCTAATATTATCTTATAGGAATATGCTGGCCCTTTGCTTTAAACTCCCGTAGTGTTAATTAAAAGCATTCAGGAGCTCTGGAACCTTACTTTGAAGAACCAGAGTATGGCACACATTTTAAATTTGAACAGACTACCTAGCAGACAGTTATTTCTCAAGAAACTTTGTATTCCTTACCAGGTATAGAGTCTCTCACCAGGACACATGGGTAATGGCCCATGGCACCAAGGAGGACACACCCAGAATGATGTGACTGGGTATTTTTTAGTTTCTAAATTAAGGCATATTAAAAAATGTCCATGTGCAAGTTTACACCACTCTTCTAGGTCAATCACCAGGTAATTAATGCAGGTTCACAGATAAATTACTCTCATAACTATATGCAACAATCATGCCAACAACTTTTCTTCTGTATTTTGCATAATAATGGTTAAAAAAAGTGGTACAGTTTAACTATCGTTCACAATTGTCATTTTCAAGGCAGTAAAATGATATAAAATAGCTTTACCTCCCACTCTCCACCCCAGCACACCCCTTTAACAGTTTAGTAAAGACTGCCCTCAAAACACAAGCTCCTATGTTCCATTCAGGATCGTGATAATGTAGGCAATTATGAAAGGAGTTGAACTTTGCTTCTTGAGAAGCCACCTTAATTTCTTTTTAAAGCGAATCTGACTTTCAGTGCAGTTCCAATTCATGCTTTTAGTGATACATAACCATTTCCAAAATGTTAAAGTAATTTCAGTCAATTGAGCCTTCAATGGCAATGCTTATAAATTATATTTATTAGTATGGTCAAGATAAGAAAGGAGTTTGGGCTTTGATTATAAAATGCAGCATCTTTCTCTGATTCTCTTGGCTAAACTTTTCCTTTTCTTTTTTCCATTCTTTTCTTTGCTGTCTTCCATCTTCCTGGCTCGAATTTCCCTCATTAAATCAAAAAATACCTAGAAAGAAGAAAAAAAAGTAAACCAAACAGTATGAGCTTGGTACTTCTCAGGATCACAGCAGTAACCCTTAGACATAATCTAAGAATAAATATTTAAGGACTGTTTGGGGAGCATAGGAAGAGGAAAACTAAAGTCTACTTCTCTACATGTATTGGGAAAATGTAAAAACTGGAAAATTTTCTGAATTACACTTTTTGGTAAAAATGTTCACATAATATAACCTGATCCTTCCATTCCAATTTTTAAGATAAAAGTGACGATAGCTCCAAAGATAAAACTCAATGGATTACATCTGAATTATGAAAAAGCATAATTATGGAACACTTTGCAGATCTAAAAAGAACGTGGTACATTTATATATAATGACATGGAAAGAACTACAAGCCCTATCTGTCGTACAATTTAAAAACAAACCACAGAAATTGTCCATCTTCATACACAGAAATGCTATACATACAATATATAAGCACACTATATATTTATATACTACATACTGAAAAACCCTATTTATATGGGGAAAAGCAAGCGAACACCCTCTCCCTTAGACTCTGTATGCTGGCCTATAAATGCAAGCAAACGTCTGGAGAGATACATACATGTTGGCAGTGGTTACCTACAGGAAGGGGAGGGGATAGAATCTGGGTGAAGAGCGACTCACTTTTTCCTCATATTTCTCCCTCCAAATTATGACTTTTTTTTTTTGCACAATAAGCATGTTCATGTACAATGAAAAAACAAACAAAAATAATATTAAAAAGGCAAAGCCTTTAGCTAGAAGGGTATTAAGAATGTCCTCAGATGAACCTGGGACCCAGTTGGCACACAAGCAGGTCTGTCAGAGGGTCCTCTAAATTCCTCTCACAGACAGAGCCTCCTGATCAGGCCAGGCTCTCGCTCAACTACTCTGATGGTCAGGAAGCTTTTCACAGGGTGGATTCACATGGAGGGCTTAAAATCTGCCTCTCGGAAGCATCTACTCAATGGTCCATTTGGAAACCAGATGAGGACAGGCATTTTGTAGGGAGACAGCATCTGTTTTCTGTGACAAGACCTGATACTTTTCCACTTACCAAGCAATACGGTTTAGAGTATGTTCTACAACCTGCTCAAAACATCAGTGAGGAGAAAACAAGGTATAATACACTAATGCTATGATAGTGTGCAATATTGCCTTTCAAAACCCCAAACATACCACCTTAAAACCTATTTTCATTAATATTTTAAAAAACATTGGCCATAACTTTAGAGAAAACTTGTATACTGAGTAGAAATTTTATAGCATTCATTTTGTACACATATCTTGGATCTATAGGAATCTCACCATGTGACTAAAAAATTTTGATCAGCTTGAGACAGTAATGACACTGTGTTAAGACCTACAATAAATGAACAAAAAAATCTAATGTTTTTAACCTTCCGAATTCTGAATCGGGGCTGTGACTCTACAAGCACAAGCAGAGTTCCCTAGAACATGGGCCATCTGGAGCAGTGCTGTCCTCAGGCAGTCCAGTCTGCACCACCTGGGAGACAACCAGTATGCAAACCCAAGGTTCCACCCTGAACCAGAGCAATCAAAATCCCTGGGGGGTAAGAACCAGGAATCTATGTTTTTAAATATATTTGTTTTTATTTATTTTAGAAAGAGGGGGAGAGAGAAACATAAATGATGAGAGAATCCTTGATCAGCTGCCTCTTGCACGCCTTCTGCTGGGGATGGAGCCCAAACCTCAGCTTGTGCCCCTGACCAGAACTGAACCAGGGACCCTTCAGTCCATAGGCTGACGCTCTGTTCACTGAGCCAGACCAGCTAGGGCAGAATCTTTTTATCAAGTGCTGTAGGCACTGGTGGGGCCTAAATGGTTGGTGGCTGGAAAAGGGCTCTAAAACCTGTACTGCCTCAGCCCAACAGGCAGTTTGCCTAAATACTGGAGACAATCGCTGGCAGCAGGATGAAATGCCCCTGGGAGGGCTCCTAGAAACTGGTCTCCAGGAAAGACCAGTCTGAACAAAGTGGGACTATAAGGAAAGAAGGTAGCTGGTTTCCCTTTCCACTCAGGGCAAAACAGAGGCTGAGGATGGGGAAGAGAGTTATACAGGGGTTTAAAGATCCTCTAATCTAGGGCTCCTTCATTTTTGACACTTAAATGGGGCCAGACAGGTGGACTTATACAATTCCTTCTAAATCATTCAGCCAATTAAGGAAAAAAGGAAAAAGAAAAAAAAGGCAAGAATTCAAGCCAGGAATCCTAGCAGTGCGACAACAACAAAAAATACGTTTACTATGGTGTCTCCTGTTGTAATGTCTCTTGGAAACCAAGGGACAAAGGGAAGGAAGAGATCCCTAACATGTTGCACTTGAACATTCAGGGCTGACAAGAAAATCAACACATATTATTAAATTGTGATTTGAAGATCTCAGAATTTCTGGACAAAATGGAGCAGAGTGAAATAAAATCAACCTATTTTTAACATGCAGTACAGCAAGCCACCTTTACCTTGTCAACATTAGCTCGTGTCTTAGCAGATGTTTCCACATAGTTAACATTCCACTGATCAGCTCTGGTTTTCGCCTCTTCTACAGAAACCTGCCTTTTATCTTCTAAATCTGATTTATTACCAACCAGCAGAAATGGAACATTCTCATCTTCTTTTACTCTTAAAATCTGCTCCCTGGATGAGAGAAAATGAGAAACATTAACTGTACTTGTTAAAATAGCTAAAATACCACCTGCTTTTGGCACTTATTTGTTTCTGCATAATAACAATCAGCTCATTTATGCCATGGTAGAAAGTGTGCAACACTTCTTCCTTATTCTACCATCAACCATTTAAGTTACACATTCAACTTAACTGAAAAAAGGAAAAATACCCCAAGGAAGACAGTATACAATATGGCAGATGAGGTATGGAATGGAAGTATCAAATGCAACTTCTCCCTGAACGCTTTCCAGAAATCCATCTAGGATACATGACCTTTTGTCATCCTATCTCCTCAGCTTCCACGTGGCTGTGACAGTTCTCAGACCTTCCTTGTTTTTGATGACCTTCACAGTTTTGAAGAGTGCTGGTTAGGTAATTTGTAGAAAAATATCTGTTAGGATTTGTCTGATGCTTTTCAAATGATTAAACTGGGGTCATGGGATTTTGGAGGAGGACACAAATGGAGAGAGTGCCATTGTTATCACACCATATCAAAGGTCTAACTAAATGTTTTTGAAGTCCCACACAAGCTGGAAATATCTGGAAGTCAGCTCCTGGGTATAGATTTTGCATTTAGAGGTAAGTTTTCAGCTTTGAAAGTGCCACCACCACCAATTTTAAAGATATCACGGCTCTGCCCTCCCTAGTCATGCGACTCTGAACACAGCCCTTTTTTTGCCTCAGTTTTCTCATTTGTAAAGTAGGACTACAATGATATCTTTCTTATACAATTGGTGTGAGAATTAAACATACAGTGCTTAGAATTGTGCTGGCACACAGTAAATATTCAGTAAATGCTAGCTACTCTTATGGATTATATTATTAATCCATTTAGAGAAAGATATTTTCTTGTAAAATCAACAAACAAAAGAAATTTGTGAGACCTAGATTTACTAGCTTACTGTCTTAAAGATGCTTCTCCTTTGAAATCAAGAGACATTGAAACTATAGAAATGTAAATACTTTAGATTAAGAGAAAATCAGAAAATTAAGGCGATTATTAGAATGACAGAGCAGCACATGCATCTGATTTTGTAGGAATCTTACCGTGATGTTTGACAGCATCAATCTTTGTCATGGTTTATTTTCAGATTAGTTTATTTTGTGCCTCTTAGCATCTGCTAAATAATTTTGAGTGCTCACAATGCAGCAGGTGCTTTAAATGTTTTAAATGCTTCACATATATTATCTTATTTAATCCTCACCTCTAACCTACAGTTAGCACTAGTATTGTCATCCTACTACAGGTAAGAAAAATGAGGCACAGAGAACTTATGTCATTTGCTGAGTCACAGTTAAGTAGAAGTAGTATATGAGTTTGAGAAATCTAACTCCAGAGCACACACACAACTTCTACACTAGATACTATGGGGCCTCCCATAATGGAAAGTCTAGCGGAACAAACCCTGTTCAAAAAGGTTTAGTTCCCAAAAGTTATTCATCACAAGAGACCCCTACCTCTGATATGGAATGAACACCAAGGTGTCCACTGGGCATTATGGTGAGGGTCTCCACGTTACAGGACATTTCCCCTTTATGGCAAAACTACAAACTGGCAGAGGGAAACCTCTTTATTCTAGTTATAGTCATCAGAGCAAACCTGTGGGAGAAGATGAGGTGAAAGAAAGGCGGGAGGATAAAGACATTTACCTTCCTGAAAAAATGTTTTCAATTAGTTGTTTCAACTGAGGGTTAGGACTGGTAGTAACAAGATAACTAGTGATACAATATGATGTCATAAAATACTTTAATTACATAGTTTAAAAACAATGCTTTACATAAAAATGTTTAATACATTAAAAAATGCACAGCAAGGAAAAGGACTGCATTTTATTTTATTTTTATAAATATTTTATTTTTAAAAATATATTTTCACTGATTTTTCTACAGAGAGGAAGAGAGAGGGATAGAGAGCCAGAAACATCGATGAAAGAGACATCGATCAGCTGCCTCCTGCACACTCCACACTGGGGATGTGCAATCAACGTACATGCCCTTGACTGGAATTGAACTCAGGACCCTTGAGTCCACAGGCCAACGTTCTATCCACTGAGCCAAACCAGTCAGGGCAGGGCTGCATTTTATAAAGAAAATTCGCCATATTTCATTTTAACAATATGAAATGGATGGCCATATGTTGTGATAAAAGAGGCATCATTTGTTTAACAAGAGCCAGTATTGCAGTTTTTAAAAGCAAGAATAGTAACCTCCTGGCTTTTAACTGCATTGCCACTCCTAACTGCATGACCAGGTAGGAGGTTACTGAGCCTTTGTGTGCTTCAGTTTCTTCATTTATAAATTTGGGTAATACTTAACACACAGACACACGCACATTTAAGAAGTCACTAATGATACGCATTATTTACTTCATGCACTACTAAGAAAAACTGCTGCAATTAAGATGTCATACAATATGACACAGCCCTGATTTTAGATGACAAAATGTAAAAAATGTGTGTCTTAGCATCATTAGTACTACATTCACCTGATTACTGATGAAGTGATAAACACCGACTCAATGCTTGCAGGACACTCTTTGGATCCGAATTATTAGTTTTTCTAGTGTGAATAAACTATGGACCACACATAGTCACCTCCATCCTTCACTGATTTGTATAATAGTTACCTTAAACATCCTTTTGGAAAGTAAAAACATGGATGGAGTACCGTATCTGGGTGACAGGCTGAGCTGTACAGTTCTAGAGTACCGTTTCCTACCACTCACATGATTTCTTGCAAAAAGCATCTCAACACTCAGCATTACTGGTATAAAATTTCTGATGGATCTGTGAAGAAGATTTCAGCCAATCACAATCTTTCCCAGTGCTGGCAACACCAATTTGCTGTTACTTTCTTACCCAGTTTCCTTTGTGAACAAAAGCCTAAACTAAGATGTTAATAATAACTGACTTATGACTCAGTTTCACTAACCACCAGGAATGTAAGAGTAACTAATTTGTGACTCTAGCACTTCTGGTCATATTATATATAATCAACAATTTATTTCTTAATAAATACCTACAAAGCTACTATGAGTCAGGTGTTTCAGAAAGACCCAGTATTGAAATTACAGTGTATTAATGCTTTCAGAAACATGGCCATGGAAAACTTGGACGTAATGGGTTCAGAGATGAGAAGACAATATTCTTTGAAGTTATTAATAATTTGGTTTTATTAGCTACTTTCCTGAATGTCAGAGAAAGATACTGCTGTACTGTGATGCTCCCTTTAAATAGAGTTAAAGAGACTTTAGAATAAGAAAGAACCTTTACAAACTGGTTCAACTTCTTAATTTATGACATAGGAAAAATGAGAATAAAAAAAAGCAAGAGAGTCTTCTAACATTTCTATCATTTACCAAACATTGTATGTTATTAGAGGCCCAATGCATGAAATTCATGCAAGAGTACGCCTTCCTTCCACCAGCTGCCAGCACCAGTTCCCTCTGCACCTGGGACCCGGACTTCCCTTGCAGCTTGTTTTGTTCGGAAGGTCGTCTGGAAGGATGTCCAATCTGATTACCATATTACACTTTTATTATTATAGCCTAGAGGCCCAGTGCAGGAAATTTGTGCGTGTAGGTGGTGGTAGTGGGTTTCCTCAGCCCAACCTGCACCCTCTCCAATGTGGGACATGGTTCTCGAAATCTGGGACCGCTGGCTCCTAACTGCTCGCCTCCCTGCCTGATTACCCCTAAATGCCTCTGCCTGCCAGCCTGATTGACCCTAACTTGCCCCCCTGCTAACCTGATCACCCCTAACTTGCTCCCCTGCTGGCCTGATCAACCTTAACCACATCTGCCTCGGCCCCTGGCCTAAGCCGCAGTCTAGCCTCCCTCTGCAGGAGGCGACCTGGTGGATGAGGGGAAGGTGCTGCTCCCATTACTCCACTGCTGCCACTGCCGGCCTGAACCTGGCCCTTCGCAGTCACCTGCAGCTGCCTGAGCCTGGGCCCAGCCCTTGCAACAGCCGCCATGGCTTTCTCTGGAAGGACATCTGGATAGTCGTCCAGAAGACATCTGCTCTAATTAGCATATTACCCTTTTATTAGTAAAGATATGCTAGCAACTGTGCCAAATACAGGTGCTAAGAACACTGACATGAGTAAGAAATGAGTTTTGCTCTCAAGAATCTTTACCTATAAATCAAGCTCAGTATAAGTGCTATTGGAGTTGGGGAAAATACATCACAGAGATAAAGAAACAATGGATTCCACCTTGATAGGGGGAGGATCAAAGATTAAACAGAGGAGCTGACAAAGGTGTACTTTGCAGATTTGATCATGTGGACTACTGACAGTCTCAAAATCCCTTTCAATAATGGCTGGTCTGTCATTAAGACACTGTTATTTAAGAGAAGGGCAACATATTGGAGGTACAACAGAGGAGTAATGAATGATTCACTGTAATAGCCATAAGCCCAAGAGTCTTTCTCTTGGCATAAAAATACCTTATTTCCTTGAAATACCACTTTGGCTTTGGTAACTATGATGATAAAATTTATTCCATTACCTACAATAGAACCTGTTATGACACACTAAGCACTCAAATATTTGCTGAATGAGTAAGCACTGACATTTATGTAACTTCAACCTGTCTTCCAACGTTACAAGCTACCGGTATCTGCCACCCTTTGTACCTTACCGCATACAAAACTGCTTCCTTATGGAAATCAACAAACTTAATTTTACAAATAAACACATTATTTTAAAAGGTTCTCAATGATATGCTTTTGTAAAGAATGTTTTCCTAGAGTCCTTTAAGTTCTTCAGACTTTCAAGTGTACATAAAAAGGAATGCTTTTTATAGGCCCAGGTTCAGTTCTTTACTCAGCCATCTGAAATAATTTCTTTCCTCAACTGTGGAAATCCTTCTTGTCTTCCAGGCTCATCTATTTCATGAAGGCCTTTCCTGGATCCTCTGTAATGATGAGTGTTCATGTCTCCTACTTGTCACTAACTTGCTTTTGGTTTCATGTCTTACTCAACTGAGCTGTATGAATCTTAAAAACAAGACATACTTCTTTTGTGTCCCCCATACCAAAGAAGGTAATTAACACAGAAATAAAAACATATAATTAAAGAATACTTTTGATTATGCATGTAATATTTATGAGACTACTCAGGAGCTTATTTATGTTACATTTCTCTTGGATATAAAGAGATCCCCTCTCCCTTATACTCCCCTCTCCATCAAACCAAATTGGTGTCAGATTTTGATTAAGCAAATGGTAAATAAGATATAAAAGATATACAAAATAACCTAGTGTGCCAATCTACAGTATTATTATTTCTATTAAAAATCTCATTTCATGCTGTCAGGACATCTATATTGTGAGGAGGATGGCAATATGCCTGCTGAGCACTCTACACAGGTCCTGAGAAAACAGTGACTAACGAAAAAAGATTTAAAATGTGGGTCAGAAATCCATTATGTGATCCAAACGTTAACTATTATGGCAATAGTAATATTCTATTCCAAAGAGAAATACTACTATAATGCATGAAGAGACTACTATAATGTTGGACAGCGAGGCTGTCACAAACTCAAGGTCCAAGACAGCTGAAACTGAGGTAGCATCTGAGTGTAAGTATATAATGGACAGAGCCACATTTCAAAGAGGGAATAAACAAATTTAGAGTGAAAGCTATCAAGTAAGAACCTCTAGTTGTCTGCTTGCTTCTGGGGAAGAAACTGTTACACAATAAGAGCAACAACATTACCCTCTGACATACCTGAAATCAGCTGTGGCTGCAAAGGACTCCATTTCTGTAATAGAGAACACACAGAGGAAACCTTCCCCGCTCCGGAAGTAGTTGTCTCTAATGGCAGCGTAGTCCTCCTGCCCAGCTGTATCCAATATATCGATCTGCACTTCCTCCCCATCCAGCACTACCTTTTTCCGATAGCTGTCTGCTTTGGTAGGCTCATAGTCCTCCACAAACTAAAAAAGAAAAAGAAAAATCCATTTAAAAATTAGCTTCACTTTTCAAAACTTATTTTGAAATATAAATTCACATGAAGTTTCCAAAATAATAGAGAGAGGTCCTGTACCCTCAGTTTTCCCCAATGGTAAAGATGGTATTAAGTTTTCATGTTAGACAATTTGGCAGCTTCCTCATTTATAAAAAATGAGTGGTGAGTTATCAATTCTAGGCTGTTTACAGCTTTAAATGTGTACCCCTTTTCTCCCTTAAAACACTACCTACAAACACTATTACATAAGTATAGGCATACCTTAAGAGATATTGAAAGTCTGGTTCTAGACAACCACAATAAAGCAAGTTGTAATCTTTCTGTTGTTGGAAAGGGTCTTGCCTACAATTTGTTAACATAAAACCTGTGAAGCACAGAAAAGCGTGATGCTATAAAAAGATGTATGCAAGTATTTTATAAAATGCGTAAGAATCCCTTTCTATGTGACTCTAAATATCAGTTTTCATGCCAGAATTGTGGAAATAAAGAAATAACTTGAAAGTAAGTCTATATTTAGGTAAACACTGAAAGTACCATTAAATTTTTTCTTACTCCAAAATGAATCAAGTAGAATTTTGAGATTTCTCCTCAAACTTTTTATATATATCCTTTATAATAAAAGTCTAATATGCTAAGCATCCGGTTGTCTGGTCAACCATTTAACCAATCAAAGCATAATATGCTAATGATATTCTAAACCTGCTCAACTGCTCGCTATGATATGCACTGACCACAAGGGGGTAGAAAATATAAGATCAGAGCAGAAAATTTTTTTAAAAAAGATCAATGAAAGCAAGAACTGGTTCCCTGAAAACATAAACAAAACTAATAGGCCTTTAGCCAGACTCATCACGAAAAAACAGAGACTAAAATTATTAAAATCAGAAATAAAAGAGAACCAATAACTGACGCTACAGAAATATAAAGAATTGTAAGAAAATACTATGAACATTTGTATGCCAACAAATTGGGCAACCTGGAAGAAGTAAAAAATTCCTAGAAACATACAATCCTCCAAGGTTGAATCAGGGAAGAACAAAAAATCTGATGAAATCAAATCAGTACTCAAAATCCACCCAACAAACAAAAGTCCTGGAACAGATGTCTTTATTAAACGTTCAAAGAAGAATTAACATCTATCTTTCTTAACCTATCCCAAAAAATCAAAGATGAGGAAAGACTCCCAAACTCATTTTACCAGGCCAGTATACTCTGAAATAATTAGACAAAGAAAATTCTAGGCCAATATCCTTAATGAACATAGAAGAAAATTCTTAACAATGTATTAGCCAGTTGAATTCTGCAATACATTAAAAAGACCAGACACTGTGATCAAGTGGAATATATTCTCAGGATGCAAGGTTGGTTCAATGGAACAAATCAATTAACATGATAGATAACATCACATAAATAAAATGAAAGTCCTGTTTGGTCTGGCTCAGTGGATAGAGTGTTGGCCTTCAGACTGAAGAGACCAAGGTTCAATTCTGTCAAGGGTATGTATCTTGGTTGCAGGCTTCATCCCTGGCCTTGGTTAGGGTGTATGTGAGAGGCAACCAATTGATGTGTCTCTCATATCAATGTTTTTCTTTCTGTGTCTCTTTTCCTCCCTTCTACTCTCTCTAAATATAATGGGAAAAAAATCCTCCGGTGAGGATTAAAAAAGACAAAAAGGAAGATAAAAATCATATGATCACTTCAATAGGTACAAAAGCATTTGACAGAATTCAACATTCATTCTTTTTTTTTTTTTTTTTTTAAATATATATTTTATTGATTTTGTACAGAGAGGAAGGGAGAGAGATACAGAGTTAGAAACATCGATGAGAGAGAGTCATCGATCAGCTGCCTCTTGCACACCCCCTACTGGAGATGTGCCTGCAACCAAGGTACATGCCCTTGACCGGAATCGAACCCGGGACCCTTCAGTCCCCAAGCCGATGCTCTATCCACTGAGCCAAACCGGTTTCGGCGTCAACATTCATTCTTAATAGAAACTCTCACGAATGAGGATAGGGGGAGCAAATCTTAACATAATAAAGATCATATATGATAAACCCACATAACTTTAACCATAGCAATCAGATAAGGAAAAAAAGGCATCCAAATGAATTCCGTAAAGTAGGACACAAAATTAATATTCAGAAACCGGTTGCATGTTTATACATCAATAATAAATTGTCAAAGAAATTAAGAAAACAATACCATTTACAATTGCATTGAAAAGAATAAAATATCTAGAAATAAATGCAACCAAGGAGGTAATAGACCTCTACTTGGAAAATTAGAAGATACTAGAAGAATAAAAGAAGATAAAAACAAATGGAAGGATATTCTGTGCCCATGGATTGGAAGAGTTAACACTGTTAAAAATATTCATACTAACCAAAGCAATCTACAGATTCTATGAAATACTTATCAAAATACCAATGGCATTTTTCACAGAATTAGACCTAAGAATCCTAAAATTTATGTGGATTCACAATAAACCCTATATAGCCAAAGCAATATGGAGAAAAGAACAAAATCTGAGGTATCATGCCACTTGTTATCAAACTATACTACAAGGCTTTTGTAATCAAAACAACACGGTACTGGCATTAAAAACAGACATGAAAGTTAATTTAACAGAATAGAGAGCCCAGCCATACTTCTATGGTCAACTAATATATGAGAAAGGAGGCAAGGATATATAATGGAGTAAAGATAGTGCATTCAATAATAGATGTTAGGTCGGATCCGGTTTGGCTCAGTAGATAGAGCGGCCTGCGGACTGGGAGGTCCAGGGTTCGATTTCGGTCAAGGGCATGTACCTTGGTTGCGAGCACATCCCCAGTGGGGGCTGTGCAGGAGGCAGCTGGTCGATGTTTCTCTCTCATTGACGTTTCTAGCTCTCTATCCCTCTCCCTTCCTCTCTGTAAAAAAATCAATAAAATATATTTTTTAAAAAAATAATAGATGTTAGGAAAATGACAAACACATGGAAAAAAAACCCAAAAACTAGACCACTTTCTTAAACTATAAACAAAAATAAAATGGGCTAAAGACTTAAATATAAAACCTGAAATCATGACATTCTTAGAAGAAAAATAATAAGCATTAAACTCTTTGACATCAGTCCTAGGAATATTTTTGGGGGTTATGACTCCTCAAGCAAGAGAAACAAAATAAATGGACTGTATCAAACTAAAATTATTAGTAGAAAATTAACAAAACAAAAAGAAAACTTGCTGAATGGGAGAAGATATTGACCAGTGATGCATTCAATAAAAGGTTAATATGCAAAATTCATAAAAATTCAAACAACTTTTCACCAAAAAAAAAAAAAAAACAATCCAATTAAAAAATGGGCAGAAGACCTGAACAGATATTTTTTCAAAGAGGTCATACAGATGGCCAACACACATAAGAAAAAATGCTTACTGTCACTAATTATCAGAGAAATGCAAATTAAAGCCAGAAGGAAATACAACCTTACACCCGTCAGAAAGTCTATCATCTATAAATCAGCAAACAATAAGTTGTGTAGAAAAGAAAACCTTCATGCATTGATGTTATAAGATTCTAAATTGGTACAGCAACTGTGGAAAACAGTATGAAGGTGATTCCTCAAAAAACTAAAAATAGAACTACCACACGCCTCAGCAATTCCATTTCTGGTTATTTATCTGAAGAAATCTATTTTTTTTAAAAAAATATTTTATTGATTTTACACAGAGAGGAATTGAGAGGGATAGAGAGCTAGAAAGGTCGATGAGAGAGAAACATCGGCCAGCTGCCTCTTGCACACCCCCCATTGAGGATGTGCCCGCAACCAAGGTGCATGCCCTTGACCAGAATCGAACCCGGAACCTTTCAGTCTGCAGGCCAACACTCTATCCACTGAGCCAAACCGATTTTGGCTATCTGAAGAAATCTAAACCGCTAATTTGAATAGACCTATGTACCCCAATGTTCACTGCAGCATTACTTACAATACCCAAGATATGGAAACAACCAAGGTGTCTACTGATAGATGAATGGATAAAAGAAGTGATATGTGTGTGTGTGTATGTGTGTGTGTGTATACATATATACGTATATATACATATATATGTATATATCAATACATATATACCTATACATATATATGTATATATACATATATATGTGTACACACACACACACACACACACACACACAATAGAATATTACTCAGCCGTAAAAGAAAATGAAATCTTGCCATTTGCAACAACATAACACCCTTCACTTAGATTAATATTCTAAGTGAAGTCTGAGAGAGAAAGACAAATACTATATGATTTTACTTATATGTGAAACATAAAAAAAAATAAATGAGCAAACACCACAGACACAAACTCATTGATATACAGAGAACAAATTAATGGTTTCTACATCAAAGAGGGGTTTATGGAATGGGTGAAAATGTGAAAGGAATTGAGAAGTACAAATTACCAGTTACAAAAATAGTTGTGGGGATGTAAAGTACAGCATAGGGAATATACTCAGTAATATTTTAATAACTATGTATGGTGTACTAGACTTATCAGGGTGATCACTTCATAAGTTATTTAAATGTCTACTCACTATGGTATACATGTGAAAGTAATATAATAGTGTATATCAGCTATAATCGAAAGATGAATTATAAAAATTTTTAAAAGATTACAATAATTTTTAAGAAGAAAAAGAAAATATTAACTAGGACCCTAAAGCAAGTACTTTGTGGAAAAATGTCTTATGAGCCATAATTTTTGAAAAAGGAAACCATTGTTCTTACCACTTGACAAAAGTAAATAGTTTGTACACTTTGGTATTTTTTAAAAAAAGAAAGAAGAGCCCTAGTCCATTTGGCTCAGTGGGTAGAGCATTGGCCTGTGGACTGAAGGGTCATAGATTTGATTCTGATCAAAGGCACATACATGCCCGGGTTGCAGCCTCGATCCCCAGTGGAGGGTGTGCAGGAGGCAACCAATCAATGATGCCCTTTCATCAATGATGTTTCTATCTCTCACTGTCCTTCCTCTATGAAATCAATAAAAAAATAAATTAAAAAAAAAGAAAAGTAGCTGTTAAAATGAATAGTATGGACAACAGAATTGAACAGATAAAATTAATAATTTCATTTAAAGTACAATTTCAAATTTCCCTCTGTTCAAATTATTATAGTCACTGACAAGTGGGACAACTGATGGATTTAAGATGTTTGTATGTATGGCCCAGCCTGGGCTGAACCCCCGAACCGGCAGCGCTGAGCCCCAGTTATGGGCCAGACCCTGGGGACCCAGGCTCCGGTGGGAGGAGACGGGGCCGTGAAGCGGAAAAACGGCGAAAAGCAGGGCCCCGGGAGTCGCGCACAATGCGCTTAGAGGACTGAATGTTGACTCTGATGCTGGGTTACCCTAGCCGGAAGAAACAAGGCCTCCGGCGGCACTGAGCCTCAGTCCGGACTGCTCCGAACCCCAGTTCTGGGCCAATCCCTGGGGACCCAGGCTCAGGCAGAGGGAGACGGGGCTGTGAGGTGGAGTCTGGGGAGAGCGGCGAAAGGCCGGGCCCCCGGGACTCGCGCAAACTGCGCGCAGAGGACAATCTGTTGACTCTGATGCTGGACTTCCCTAGCGGGGAGGAGGAAAAAAAAGCTCTAGGCTGGGGGAACGCGGAGGGGAGCGGAAGCCCCTGCCGGACTCCAGCCAACTGGGCACCAGCAAGGAGGCGGGCCACGGGGCCCCTGGGGGCGTGGGTGCCCCTGAGCCTTTGACCACTGAGCTCGGGCAATGGAGCCAAGGCCGGGGGCTGCTTCCTGGGCGGCGCCGTCCCGGCAACAGGCTGAAGCAGCGCAGGAGCCCGCGCAGAACAAAGGGGTGCCACAGGCCAACCTGCTGAGCTCCCAGGACAAGGAGGAAGAAACCAAAGAAGTTCTCAATGTGAAGAAATCAAGTGAGAGCAAAAAATAGTAAAATTACTTAAGAAAGAATACAAAGAAGATCTTGAAAAATCAAAGACTAAGTCAGAACTCAACTCACCAGCCAACATTGCAACATAAATGCGTTATAAAAAGAAAAAAGGAAAAAAAAAAGGACAGAATGTTGGAACAGCGGCGGACAGGCCTAGAGTGGCCAGGCACAAGGCAGTGGCAGCCAGGCCCGGAGCAGCAACGGCCAGGCCCCAGAGCAGCAGCAGCCAGAACCAGAGCATCAACAGCCAGCACTGGAGTAGCCAGACCTGGGGCAGTGGCAGCCAGGCCTGAGGCGGAGGCGGCCAAGCCCAGGGTGGCCAGTCCAGGAACACCCAGACCCGGAGTGGCCGGGCCCGGAGAAGCCGGGCCCAGAGCAGCTGGGGTGGGAGCAGCCAGACCCAGAACAGCAGTAGCCAAGCCCAGAGCATCCAGGTCGGGAGTGGCCAGGCTCGGAGCGGCCGGGCCCGGGGCAGCCGGGCCCAGAGCAGCCGGGTCGGGTGCGGCCAGGCCCGGAGCAGCAGCTGCCAGGCTGGGAGCGGCCAGGCCCGGGGGAGCAGCCGGGGCTGGTGCGGCCAGGCCCGGAGCAGCGGCTGCCAGGCTGGGAGCAGCCAGGCCTGGGGGAGCAGCCGGGGCTGGTGCGGCCAGGCCCGGAGCAGCGGCTGCCAGGCTGGGAGCGGCCAGGCCCGGGGGAGCAGGCGGGGCTGGTGCGGCCAGGCCCGGAGCAGCGGCTGCCAGGCTGGGAACGGCCAGGCCCGGGGGAGCAGGCGGGTCGGGTGCGGCCAGGCCCGGAGCAGCGGCTGCCAGGCTGGGAGCAGCCAGGCCCGGGGGAGCAGGCGGGGCTGGTGCGGCCAGGCCCGGAGCAGCGGCTGCCAGGCTGGGAGCGGCCAGGCCCGGGGGAGCAGGCGGGGCTGGTGCGGCCAGGCCCGGAGCAGCGGCTGCCAGGCTGGGAACGGCCAGGCCCGGAGCCGCCGGGTCGGGTGTGGCCAGGCCTGGAGCAGCGGCTGCCAGGCTGGGAGCGGCCAGGCCTGGGGGAGCAGGCGGGGCTGGTGCGGCCAGGCCCGGAGCAGCGGCTGCCAGGCTGGGAGCGGCCAGGCCCGGAGCAGCAGCAGCCAAGTCCAGAGCAACTAGATCGGGAGCGGCAGTGACCAGACCCGGAGCAGCTGGTTGTGGAACGAACCAGAGCAACAGAGGACAGGCCCTGAGCAGCCAGGCCCAGAACAGCTCGCTCCTTGCCTGCCCCTGCCCCACGGCTGCTTCTCAGACATGGCTGGAAACTTTCGTGGGAACTTGAGGGTCTGCTGAATCAAGTGATGAAGGCTTAGATCTGGATGTGTTGAGTTAGTTTAGGACTGTTGATCTGTGAGTGCCTTGGGTGGGGCCTGGATGAGGCTGGTGGACCTATTGGGAAATGTCTTTTGTGTGAAGTGTATCATTGGGCATGTGGAGGTATTATTGATATGAGAAAATGCTAAGTAACTGATTTACTATCTGAAAAGGGATTTACTATTGGGGAAAGGGAGGGAAGGAGAGACTGAACATAAACTGCACCTATGGATGAGGACAATGGGGGATGGGGAGGGGGCAGAGGGTGGGGTGGGAACCTGGTGGAGGGGGGAAGAAATGAGGAACCTTTGTAATAATATGAACAATAAAGATTGATTAAAAAATAAAAAAAAATAAATAAAAAAAAGATGTTTGTATGTATGAAAAATATGGTATAGAAGGAGACAAGGGGTGGTAGAAATCTGCAAGATTTTTTTCAAGAGACCAATTTAAGCAGGTTGAATAACCTATCTGAAGGTTTGTTTTCTCATCTGTAAAATGGGAATAACACTACCTACCATGCAGGGCTGTTATGAGGAATAGGTAAGAAAGAGTAACCACAAAACCCTGCTTCTATTAGAAGAAGAATTGAGGATAAATGTTTAAATTAGGTGACCAACTCTTAAATTATTTAAGACTTGATAATAGTCTTCCAGGGAAAAAAATCTGGATCGAAAAAGTCTTATATATTATATGCACACAAATCTGATAAACTGTCTAGTAATTACATTTTAGGGATACAGCCTTTACCTGTTTAATGGTGAAGGTAATATCATGCCAAATACACAATAAAGAATCTTTTAAGTGAAGTTATTATAGGATACTTTATGTATGTTAACCTCAAGTCTCAATTAGGTACTATATTCATCAGTTCTATTAATTCAAGGTAAAAATTGCCATTAAAACTCTAAAAATAAAGGCTCAAGTTAGATTGCTTAAAAATAGGTACTGTTTCTAGAGGATAAGGATAAGGTTTTGTTTTTTAAAGGATAAGGTTTTTGTGAACCTTGAGTTCTTGACTTGGTATATAAATCTATATATAAATGTTGACTCTGAATTTAAAAAGGAAAAAAAAAGATGAATAATTTTCAAAGATTCAAGGAATTAATCCAAAACAGCACCAACTAAGCTAGAGAAATATTACCTGAAAGCCCAAACTTTGATATCCATTATAAAATTAGCACTTACCTCATCATACATGAACTGCAGAGTCAGAGCGGACTTGCCAACACCACCACTGCCCACCATGATGACTTTGTGTAAGGCCAAAGAATTCTGACCCTTGGGCTTATTTGTGGCCATCTTATGTCAGTTTTCACCAAAGGAGTAAGGAGAATCTAAAAAGAATGAGAGAGTATATAATGCTCAGTATGTTCTTCTTCAGAATCCAGTAAAGGAAAGAGATATTATGTTCTTATGCTTCAAGATACTAGTTTTCATTCTGCCGTGATTTGAAACAGATGGCAAATGAAGTGTGCTCATTTAAGGGAAAAACCACTTATCAGAGGACACCATGCCAATAAAACAAAGTACATAACTCAAGGGCATTTCTCTTATAATAGTTTTCAGTAATGAGCTGTGACCAAAAGTGAAAATATCCCAGTACAACCACATGTTGACGATAATAAGAGTCGTATGAGAATATAATTGCATAGATTATAAAAACCAGTTAAATGATTACTTTGTTTTCATATTAACAATAATTAGCAATAATTGAAGACATATTTTTCTAGTTCCAATAAGAAAATGGACAACAAAAGAAGACTGCCAACTGACAGGCTTATTTTCAGTTTAGAAAAGAACCACATCCCAGCAATTTGGTGGCAAAATTATCAATACAATCCAACACTATCTACCCCAACTCTAGAGTATCCTAGCACTGGAATGTTGGCTAAATGGCTAATAAACAAATGTTTGAAGTCCTGGATCTTGTGTCCTTCCACGGAACATGCATATTTGTTTACTACATGCATTGCTCAGTGTGGAAAGGCTAGGTTTCTTCAGAAGCTGTACTGGTGAGGTACATTAATGACATCCTGTTCCCTTTGGCCAGGGTACCTTTTCTAAGGAAAGGGAGGCCATGAAGTCACACAAACATTGAGTCTGTGTGGAAGACCAAACAAGAAAAGTTTATCTTATCAGAAGACCTGGGGACTGTACCCTTCCTTCTCAGCATCTCTCTGACTTATTTTGGCTACAGATACAGCTTTCCCAAGTCGCCGCTCACTGGGCTGCTCTTACAGACGAGACGGTATTTCCCCTTCTCCTTTTTAATAGTTACCACTTATAATTCCATGTATGAGCCCCTGTAATTCTCCTTTCCTTCCAGTAAAGTAACCAAATGTCAAAAAATAGAGATTTGTACAAAATCTCAGAGCTATAAATAATCTAGTTATTCCCAAACATCCTGTGGTTCCAAACCCACACACCTTAATATCAGACATTTCTGTGACTGTCAATATTTTTCAGTAAAGATAGTAGAAAAAGACAGTCAATATTTCTTTGCTTTCACCTGGGAAGATTACAAGTTTACTTGGACAATAATGCCCCAGGAATATACAAAAAGTCCCTCTTATTAGATACTAAAAGCAGATTTAAATGATATTAAATTTTCTAGATATTACACTCTTACCCTACATGTGGGTGATTTAGTTTTATGCTCTAGAAAATTATTAGACTCTCAGAAGGTCACAATATACCAATTACAATAGCTAGCTATAAAGGGACATAGATATATAAGAACAAACCTGGCTCTATTTGCCTCAGTCAAATACTTTGGTGATCTAATATCTAAAGATGGGCTACTAATTAACTTTGAAAGACTGAGAAGAATTCTATCTTTTCCTCATACAAACAAGCAAAAACCAAACAAACAAGAAAGCAGCTTAGAAGATCCCTGGGTTTGATTGAATATTATCACACTAGGTTTCAAATTTTTCATTAAAGGCCCAGCCTCTGTATGTCTTACTAAAATCAAATTGACATGACCCAATTTTGTGGAACCCAAAAAGGAAACAAGATATAAAGTCTCTAAAGAATTATTTAAAGCTTCTACTCTGGGATACCTTAATTATACAAAATTTAACTCAAATATATAGTTCATCATAGACCTATTAGTGGCCTGATGCACAGATTCATGCACATCGAAAGGAAATTAATAGAAGAAATATTTTAATATCGCTATTACCCTTTCTCTATAATAAAAGTGTCAGAGATGAAAGAAAAGTAGTAATGTATATTAAAATAACATATAAATTGATTAATAAACAATAACATGATATAACAACATTGATAAAAACAATGACTGGTAAATTGATTAAATTTATATTATTCTAATGTCTCTGTATACCACATTAAGAGTAAAAACACTTTCAGAGTGCTTTACTAATCTCCATTGTGATGAAGTATTTACAACTTTAACGTCACATGTTCTTCGAACTTGAGAGAAAGCAACGTAAAACTGACCATGTTCGAAAATAAGTTCAGGTAGGAATATTCCTACTCTGTCTAGAGAGTCTCCTTGTGATTTATTAGTAGTCATTGCAAATGCTGGCATCACGGGAAACTGTCTTTGAATTAATTTAAATGGGAGGCCAGTGTCAGATGGGCACATGTGCGAGTCAACAAATATCGCACATGTGTGAATCGACGTTTGTTTTTAAATTGCCAGTGTGCGTCATAACTCAAAATATCTAGGATCATCATAGACTTATAGGCCTGCATGACAGGTATTTCTACTACAAACATGTTATACAAACAAGCAAATGAAAGATAGTTATGGGTTCTTCTTTGTTTATATTCCCCATTCTATTAAATCTCAATACATTCAAAATTTCTGTCAGCTGACTTGCTCTTGCCTTCTGCACCTAATTGCACTTAAGCTGGATTAACAGTCTTAACCCAGCAACTTTGCTACTTTCTTTGTAGGATAAAGACATACACGATGGACTTTATATTACTCACAATGCCATCTATCTATCTATCTATCTAGACTGTGTGTGTGTGTGTGTGTGTGTGTGTGTGTGTGTGTCTAAGTGACCGTCCGACGGGCCAGTACCTATGACATGCACTGACCACCATGGGGCAGACGCTCAACACAGGAGCTGCCGAACTGCAGTGACTTGGCAGCAGCAGTTCGCACCCGGAACCAGAGAAGAGGGAGCCCAATTCCTAGCGGGGCCACGCAATTCCACCTTTGGCTGTGCATTAAGTTGTTCCTGGAGCACTGTTGGCCCCAAATCTGGTTCACTGCACACTAGCATTTGCATTCCACACACTGTACGACAGCAACTTTACGGAGTGCCCTCTTGCACTCTGGGACCCCTCAGGGGATGTCAGAGAGCCAGTTTCAGCCCCATCCCCACAGGCCAGGCCGAGGGGCCCCTCCTGCCAGAAGGAACCCGCTCACTCGACAGATGCCTTTTGAGTCTTGGCATTGCCCTAGGTGTGGCCCGCTGGGGAGGGACCACGGGAGGTTGGCTCCAAGGCATGTCCAGCCCATCTCACCACCAGCCGCCACCTGCATTAGTCCCTGCACCAAAGCTTGCGCCTCAAGCAGAAAGACCTGAGCGTGAGTTTTCTTCCCTCCCTCTTCCCCTTTGAGCTGTGGCACCACACCGTCCCAGGAATTCTAATTAATTGCCTTTCAATGTGCACAAAACTGCACGGGGCCTCTAGTTTTACGATAATTAGTATTTACCAAGAAATTGTTATCTTGGAATGTTATATCTAACAATTTTTTAAATCAACTGCAGTATAATAAAATCTATAGCCATACCACTTTGTTTTGTCATTTATAGACAGTCATTGTTTTTACTTAGAAAAATCCATGAAAAGGACTCTGACTTACTCTAAATTACAGGTTTCTAAGCAGATTATATCTTTGAATTAGATGAAGATTTATAGAGAATAACTGAATTCATGAAAATACTGGCAAATAATCAGGATAAAAAATGCTGAGAATAAATTAACTGAGGATTATTATTCTTATGACTTTGTTTTAAATGTTATTGATTTTTAAATCATTTTGTTTTCTAAATATAAGGAAATTAAAAGAAGACATTCTGGTCCTAACCGGTTTGGCTCAGTGGATAGAGCATCGGCCTGCAGACTCAAAGGTCCCAGGTTTGATTCCAATCAAGGGCATGTACCTTGGTTGTGGGCACATACACTCCCAGTAGGGAGTGTGCAGGAGGCATCTGATCAATGTTTCTCAACTCTCTCTCTCCCTTCCTCTCTGTAAAAATATCAATAAAATATATTTTAAAATTAATAAATTAAAATAAAAGACATTCTGCATTATTACCAATGGCTCATTAACCAGGTTATAGGCACTGATAAATTAGTAACATTCATTTCCCAGGTGCTCCTGGAGATGTAGACTTCCAAGACCACGACATACAACTAGGAGATTCTTATCCATTAGGAAAAACACTAAAGGCTCTCTTCAATGGTGTTGGAAGGGACCCTACCTTATCAGGTGCCTAACCACAAATGGACATCTGCTCCTGTACCTGACACTTACCTCTATCTACAATGAGGATCTAAAACTTTTCAAGAATGAGAAGCCCAACCAATATATTAGTGTATAGGCAGCCATACCATGAGACCAAAAGGCCTGTATACCTACAAATTAATGTTACTGCTAATATTAATAAGAATAATTATACATATTCTTTAGGCTTTCCTTAAACCCGATGTATATTGCCTAACTGTTAATAATTAATAATTACTAAAGGTGTATAAGATAACCTTCTGTGTTATCAATAATACTTTTTGAGGTTTCTCTTGAAATTTAGAAAAAAAATGCTATTGCAAAAAGTTAGTAAAAAAGAAATAGTAACAAAGGAATTTTATATATAAACGCCAAAACCTATGAAAATGTGTTTACCATCCTAACCCAAAAAAAGCATCTAGTTGTACTAATTCCAATAGAAGCTGCAATGGCTATAAAAACATGGCCCTCTATAACTGCTGCTAAGGCACAGCAAATTTACTTATCAAACTCTTCCGTCCTCCTGGCTTCTTCTGGAATTTTAAATAGTAATTGTAATTTATAGCATTATGTTCTTGCAATCTTGGCCCCAATTAAAAACACACACATAAGAGGACAGCTTCCAACTGCACAACTAGCAGAAATCAAATTATTAACAGCACCTAAATGTTTCCAATTGGAAGTAAAATAGTAAATTGAAACTCATTTCATGGTCAGATTATAAAAACTGAAAGGTGTATGTTATGCCCTCAAACTATAAGTGAATGCTATAGTAGATACAAAATATAGATAGACCGGCAAAAACACA